GCGCAAGGCACATTTTTTAAAAAACTCGTCTTGCTGCAGGTGTCTGCAATTAGAGTGTAGTGCCTGATATGAAACTAACTCCAACTTTTTGACATAATTATGCTTTTGTTCATCATTTTTAATAGCCAACGTATACACAACCGTAAACGTGGATGCATTCAAACCCCTAGTGATAAACCAATTTGAGTTTCATTATGGAAGTCAACATGTCTGTATCACTTGCGTTTGGTAAATCTGACCGGAAGCAAAACACTTTTCCATCACGAATATTCATTAAGTCAAAGTGCGATAATGGATAGTGTCTTCAGTTACTTGAACATGAGGGACAAACACTGTAATTAGTGATTCCGAATTGATTGTAAAAGCTGAGTTAATGTTGAACTTGGTTTCAAGAATTTGCAATATTTTACAGTGTGAACCTTGATGTTTGAAAAACTTTACACATTTCCAGAAAAAGAGACAATTTTAAACACCCACACATACTTTAACGTTATGTGAGAATCACGAAGTTGGTTAATTCTCACATGGTTTTCCAACGGTTACACGTTTTCCAGCAACATGGATTATGAGAAAGTTCACTCAGCGTCTGAAACTACCTTTTAATACACTAACTAAACTGCACATACATTATATGGGAATTCCTCATTTATGAAACACTGTGGTTATGATTTTTCAAATGATTTGCCTAAAGTATCACACAGATATGCCTGGTTGACATACTGTCACTACATGTAAAACAAAAGTAAGGTGACTGTTCCGGTTTGACTTTTCAACGGTCTGGATAAAAGTAATTTCAGGATTATCCGACTGGGCAAGGAAAGCATACGTGAAACTGTTGTGTTTTTATTCAACTTCGTATATATCAAAACATCTGCGAGCTGTGGCAAATTTCGATTTCACCACTGACGTCTATCGCAGTTTCCTGACAAAGATGTCTGTTGGCGTGTGAACGTCAACGTGACGGAGCACGCCATGCATACGTAGACAGGCCGACATCCTACACTGTTCACCGTCAATCCAACAATGACAACTTCCTCTTGACAATTAGGAAACTACCGACCATGTTCACTCGTTGAGTTTAAAAACACAGATGGTCGGACGTCACATTCTCATTGTGAATGTCCACCGTAAAGTCGACGCTGTTAAACAATAGGAATTTGTCTCAGACGTCAATAAGTTGTTCAGTGAGTCATCCGTGTCATTGTGGATCACCACATTGTTGTCAATTCATGGTTTGTTTTGTTAAAAGTTTCCTACCTCAACATTTCAAATGGTTTTACTGAAGCAAAAAAGCTTTAATTTGACACTGGCTTTTTTTGAAGAAGCGCACATACAGCGGAAGATAATGACCATCGTAATCAGGTTGTGAAGCAGAACCAATATATCCCAGTTCTATTTTCGATGACATTATAGAGACATAGGCGAAATATATGCAGCAAGTGGAGCGTATGCAGCTGTTTACGACATACAAGTAAACCGTCCGTTAAATAGACATAATGATGTCTACTATATTTTGCACGTTTAACGATAGCTGTAGTGATATTTGCATAAATTGTAGGGTAAAGAATAGGCTTGGAAGCCTGAAAATGGTAGCACAATGAGAGTTTTCTCAACGTGAATAAGGTTTACTGTCCAAACTGCAATATAAGACTATTTACCTCACGATATGGGAGTTGGGGTTGTTTACATCATAACCACTACAACCGAATTGTTGTTTACCTGAACACAAGAGTACGAAACTCTCATCATGCATGTAGTCGTGCTGAATTCTTTCCATCCATAAGAAAGGGGTGTGAGTTGTATTCGTTTGAGAGTGTCAGGCTGAAAAACTCTGACAACTCGGCACAAATAGAAAGGGCACACAAATTAGATGAACTCTGTTTACTAAGGAAAACTCTCGTTCTTTGTATTTCCAATTATTAAACGTAAACGGTTTAAAGAATCATCCCTCCCAGATGTTATG